TTTCAACCGACCCTGTGTGCCCCCACCCAACAAAACAAGCTAAAATCTCAAGATCTAGACCCAGCCAAGCACCACCAAAGGTCAGCTTCACTCTTGGTCCGTGGTGGTTTGGATTGGCGGTTTAGAAAGGTGGCTTCCCATTTACCCCCAAGCCGGGCCATCCAAACCACCAGCACCCGGGTCCCAAGTGGTTGCCATGGACCCGGCTGCTCGTGACCTGAAACCTTCCTGGGTGCCTCCTCCAAAAAGGCCGCGCGCTTTCCAGGGACCCAACTGCCGTTCCGTGGTTGACCTTGGAAGGGGAGCAGAAAATTAAGAATTTTAGCAGCTCAGTGGTTGGATTTCAACCACTCAACCACCAAAAGCAAACATGTAAAATGCTTCCCAACCATGAAAAGGGTGCCCTCCGAAGAAAGACAACGCGCCCTATAGTTCCTTCTACGTCTGATTCCAGTAAACGTCGTACAAAAGAGAGGGTGCCAGCAGGCTCCACACCGCATATTTGTTTGGGTCAGCCGTTTTAAGATGGTTTACGCATATTTGTTTGGTCCCCCGACGCCCTTCCCCGGTGCCGACTCCGCTGGCCGCTGAGAGGTCCGGGCTGCCGCCATGGCGCTTGGCGCCCACGAGGCGCTCACCTTGGCCGACGTCCTCCACGCGCTCCGCCTGAAAAACATCGAGTCGGAGCCCATGGAGTGCAGGGGTCCACGTTTTGGACCTCAAGATAGACTTAAACCTGGTGGGTTTGATGTCCCGAAAAGAGAAACACAACCTGGGTTGAAGTCTTTTTATTGGGCTTAAGCCCAGCGGCTGATGTCCCCCGAAGGAAACAACTCGGCTGACTGGAACCTTGATGGACTCGAGTTCGATTCAGCAAAATGCAGAAGTTGGACTGTGGATGGACGAAATCCATTTTGCCGCCACCGTTCAGATACCCTCGGAATGACGATTTCCCTGTAGATACCAACAAGCAATGAGTTCCCGTGGATCTTCGATTCGGCTGCGAGAGATGCAGGGAGTGAGACCTGGAATGATCCCGAGATACACCATCCCCTTGCTGGTGGTTTCCTTTAAGGGGAGCCCTGCGTTCATTCCATCATTCCCTGCTGAGCACCGGCAAGGCAAGTTGTTGGGCATGTGGCTGTGGGTCAACAATCAGGTAACCCCAAAATGGCTTGCCCCAGTAAATGGAAACATGGACTACAACCTGTGCTCCTGTGGTGGTTTAGTTTTGACCCACAGCCGCATTATGTTTATCAACCATTCAAAAGGTTCTCTAAGTTGTAGCGGTAAACGTTTGGCTCTAACCCACTTTACACCGGTGCCCAATAAGCGGGGGTCAACACCTTGTTATGATGGGGTGAAAACCCCAAGTGCCCAAGTAGGTGCTCGAATCCGATTCAAATATGTGTTGTTGTTTTTTTTCTTCCAAGAACTCCCCTTTTAAAATTCAGCTTCTCTTCAAATGGGATGGATTGGTGGGGGCCAAAAACGCTCGGAAGCAGTTTGTTTGCTTTTTGCCTTCCAGCAACTTATGGAGGTTGCTGTGGGGGACGTCACTAGGATCTTGCTTTCTGATGGAAACCGAAAGGAGGCTGTTGAAACAACAGCGGCAAGTATAAAACTCACTTCCGACTCGCCAACATATTGTTACATATATATATATATGTATAATACACCGATCACCCCTTGCGACTGTGGTTGGCTCATGGATTTTGAGAAGCTCTTGCAGCTCTGTTTTGGGCTGAAAAAAATTTGAGGCCTGGTCGGAAATAAGATAATTTGAAGACCTTTTGGGTCGAGACTGGGACATCTCTTGCCCTTGTGATGCTGACTGCGAGCCAACACGCCCTTTTGGCGGGCGGAACAAAAAACACTTGCTGGTTGTGCAAAACAGTTCAGATCCCGATCACTGAGGAAGCTACAGCCCATATCTAGCTGCCAGATGCATCTGGGGTCATAGATTCTCCCTCATCCTATGATCCGGCCCCAGAAAAACCACGACCACCATCTAGCATTGGGGGGGGGCATGGCCTGAAGGGCAACCCTGTGAGCTATGCCAAGGCACGCACAATGCCGCCCCTCCCTCCGCTTCGTATAACCGCATGCTTCAGAAGATTCGCCCACCCCTCACTCCCATGTCCCTGTGATGTTGAAGAATGACGGGATGGGCTTGGATATTACAAGTTATACGGCCATATTGAGGATTGAAGGGAAATGCAGGTTTGCATCCTATGAGTCTACGAGTGCTATGAGAGGTCTGTTTGAGGAAAGAGCGGGTTGCCGGGGTTGGGGCCTAGGACCATGTCATGCCATGTGCAATCACTACCTTATGACATCATACCTCATGGACCCCAAATATGAACCCATGCCACGGGGAGCCCGGTAATTTACAGGGATCCGGATGCATTATACACCTGAACATTGCCTTGTAAGTAGTGGTGTCCCTTTATTTTGGTGGAAAAAGCCATGTTTCAAACGGGCGAAATGTATCTTTTAAGGAGCCCGGTCATCTACTTGGCGGTCAGCAGGCAATCGGAAGGGCCTGGGTGCGGTCACGGAGGCTCAAGTCTGCCATCTTCTTCTCCAGGTCGGTTTTGAGACTGACCTGGGCACTGGAGTTCCCGAACAAATGTTTTTCTTTTTCAATCATCTGCATTTCCCCTTGAAGCCAAGCAAACAAAGGGCAATAAATGTATTGCCAGAAGTAGGAGGGGTCCAAAAGGGGGCATAATGTTGACAACCTGACATTCTCCTAATCCCGATGAATTCTAGAAGCATTCCGCAAGTAGTCCCTCTTCAAACATCTTTGACTTTCTGTTTTCAAGATCGGTCCCAACCACATGCCCCAGGATACTGATGTGTTCCGGGTAGCATGGTGTATAACATTTATGTACCCATTCAGTACTTTGTGTGTGGGATATTGCAAAGCATCCATGCAGTGTGTGGCTTTGCCCCGACTCTATGGGATCTCGCTCCCATAGAGTAAGGTGTGGTTGTTGGAACACATAGTGATATGGTGAATTTTCATTGGGGGCACTTGTTGGAGGGGCGGATTGAGTCTCTTGGTGCAGGGAGTCGGGTTGAGTCTTTTGACACCCAGCTCAGGTGATTTACCCTCAAAACCTCGGCTCATGTTGACAGGTCGATAGGGGAAGAATCCATTTAGTTGGGGTTTGTATGCCCACGAACTCAACCAAATCATTGCCATAAGTTGAACTCGTCTTTCCAAGGAGAAAGCGTGCGCCGCGGAACAAAGCGGGAAGGAATGTTGACAGTTCTGATCTGTTCTCTGGAAATCCGAGTTCTTCAAATAATTCTGCGCTAACTTGGTTCTGCTGACCCCCCTGCAAAAAGTTTAACTTTTTGGGGGTTGTGGAAAACCGTTGATTTCCCAAAAAGTTAAAGTCTAAAGATTCAACCCAATAGTAGTCAAGCTAAGGGGGACCGTTTCCGACAAGTCAGAAACACACCATGAAGCAAAGGTGTATCCTTCAACCCTCGAGGGAGTCCCTCTAAGTAAGAATATTTGTCTTGCAGGGGCAGCTGGCGCTTTGATGAATGGAACATCTTCTTATTCGTTCATCGGTGAATCTTCGTACCTGGTGTATCAGCGAAAACCTTAAACACCTTTAAGAGCAAAAGTAGCATGAACCACGAACAGAGACAATATGTTGATCCAACAACCAAAATGACTCAACCCCCTTTCAACATCCAAGACCCCCTTTCAACATCCAAGACCCCCTTTCAACATCCAAGACCCCACAACCCCAAGACCCCATACCAAGACCCCATACCAAGACCCCAAAACCCCATACCAAGACCGGCGTTGCATTTGCTTTGCTCGAATCCACTCTCCGCCCCTTGGCCGGTTGAGGGCACCGGCTGAAGGGCCCTTGAGCGCTTCGCCGGCCTGACAAGCCCCAGTTGTCCGAAACATAGACTAGGTCCTCCAGTTTTGAGAGGTTAGAAGAAGGGTATCCATTTTTTTTTCTGTAGTCTATTTTAGTATGGGAACCCTCCCAACCAAAACAGGGGTGAGAACGGGCACTACCGGGGGACCTACTAGAGGGGGCGTTCCTTGCATCTCGTCTTAGCTTCCCCCTAATTGGTGGTTTGGTGGTTTGGATTTGGATTTGAACCCCAGTACCTTTTGAACCAAGTGGGGAAGGTGCCCCACAACGTCCAAACCACCAATTTCGGGTAGGGTGATCTTCTTTCAAAGCTAATCAAAAAGTGGCTCCCCCTAAAAGCAACAAAAACAAGCACCCGCATGGAGTTCAATCCGGAAATTCGAGGCATGTGTCGACAAAAAGGGAACCGGCCTTTTGCAAACACGGACCGATTGGACAACAGACTTCTAGTCCCGGGCTGCCAAATTTCTGTGTTTGTGTGTCACAAATTGGTGTCACATGCAGGAGTCCGGCCTCCCCCTGTATTCTTCGGTAATGTTGCCACCACATCAATATACCCCTGTTTGATTTGCTGAGAACGGGGGGTGTGTCCCCTTTTAGTAGGGATTCATCACTTTTGGAAGGAACACCCCCCTGGTAATGGAACGTTTGTTTGAATCCGGGGTCAACTGTAGGTTGTCAGGATTCTGCCAGTGTCTTCGAATCTTAGCTGGAAAAGATGATCCCAAGTATTTAGAAGTTGTGCTTCTTTTGAGCATGTTTGTGCTTAGAGGGAACCTTCGGGATTGGTTTGAATAAAAACCAAATTGCAAACCACCATTGTTGGGTAGCGGTTCTTAGAAAAGTGGCTGGGGGGCCCCTTGCGCCCTATTGGTGTGACTGAAGCCATAGAACCTCAGAAGCTGACAGTTTGACAACACCTTCGACTGCTCCGACATTCATGCTTTTCCTATGACTTTTGGGGCTTCAAGTCCAAAGCCTAGATCCTAGGCAAGCCACTGTACTAGGCAACCAGCTATGTCCATTTGGCTTTTAAAGGGTGGTTCCCTTTGGCTACCTGCGATACAGCTAAACAAACTCACCGGGCTAGGGTTGTATCCCCCAATTCACTGGGCAACAAAATCCCTTGGCGTCTCCATGGGTTGCATTGCTTGGACTGCACGCGAACTCGAGACTGGCCTGCCACATGTCTTGCTGCATGTCGCACAGGAACTGCTGCTGAGGGCCCAAGATGCTGCCTGGTCGGCATATTCTGTTCCACCTCGGGCCACTCGAACTCGATTTTGCGGCCGAGCGCCGAGCGGCGCTAAAGGCTCTAAGAAGGGGAAGCCAATGCACAACCCAAGTTCGCTGGGAGGGTGTCAAGGATATTTTATCATTCGCCAAGGACCAACAGCTTGCGAAAGTCTGGAATCTGTTGCAGGCATCCTCAAGTCTCCTTCTTGGTGTTCCTGCTTCCCAAAGGCTCGTTCTTTGGCTGGCCACACACTCTTACTTTTAAAATACAAATTTTGAGCATCCCCATGGCATTGAGGTGACAGTTTTGAATTTCGGGATGGTTGGGAAATCGGAAGGACAACCATGTTGGGAGGAGGACCTAATTTGACACGTCATAAGAGAACCGGGGCCATCGGCCCCTAATTTCTCTATATTCCCTCTACCGAGTTTCGGGTTCGGCCTTACTTTCAAAGACAATTCCGGGCCTGGAGAGGCAAAACAATGCCGTTAAAGAAATTTCCAAACACAAACCTTTTGAGGGCTCAAGTTGTGCAAGGGGGACATGATAATCTCGGTGATTTATTGCATCTAACCTTTTCGAGTGTGGTGGTTGGATGTGGTTGGTCCTGGAGCCCCCCATAATGCTGTTGTTCCCGTGCGTTCGAATAAAACGACACAAAGGCACCCTTCCAAAACAAGACTCGCACACACACACACACACCACAAGCACAAGCACAAGCACAAGCACAAGCACACGCACACGCACACGCACACGCACACGCACACGCACACGCGCACGCGCACGCACACGCACACGCACACACACACACGCACACGCGCACACGCACACACGCACACACGCACGCACACCCACACCCACACCCACACCCACACCCACACCCACACCCACACCCACACAGAGACACAGAGACACAGAGACACAGAGACACAGAGACACAGAGACACAGAGACACAGAGACACAGAGACACAGAGAC